CTTTTTTATTTTTATACCTTTACATATGAAAAAGAAAAATATTAAGAATAATAATTTATGAAAATATATTTAACAAAAAGAAATTGTTATAATTAATAAAAAAAAAAAAAAAAAAAAAAAAAAAAAATTTTTTTTTTTTTTTTTTTTTTTTTTTTTTATTAATTATAACAATTTCTTTTTGTTAAATATATTTTCATAAATTATTATTCTTAATATTTTTCTTTTTCATATGTAAAGGTATAAAAATAAAAAAGCTCATACATAAAATAAATATGTTTAAATTATCAAATATATGAAAATAAAAAAAAAAAAAAAATAATATTAATATTTATATTAACAAGTAATTTAGATTTGGGTTCCTATATTTTAAATTAAAATTTATTAAAAGTTAAAAATGACATTTTTTACAATAAATAATGAAAATAAAAAGGACTGTTATATTACTAATGAAACTAATTTAGTTTCTGATCAAATGTATTATGATTTGAAAGAAATATGTAATGAATATGGAGTAAAAGATAATAAAAATGAAAAAGATACAAAAATAAAAAGTAATGAACATTTTATAAATTCTTCAAATACATTAGATATAAAAGAAAAAAAAAAAGAAGTATCACCTTCTTTAGGTGTTTTAGACATAGTAGAATCAAAAGTAAATGGATATTCTAAAAACAATTTCAGTTTTTGCAATCAAAAGGAAGACAACATAGAAATAAAAAATAGCAATGCAAATGAAAATGATAAAAATTTCAATGAATATGTAAGAAACAATTCAAACATTAGAAAAAATATTCAAAGAGAAAAAATTGAAGATATTAAAGAATTTATACCTCATAATAATAATGAAAAACTTAAAAGAATTGAATATTATATGAAAAATTATAATAATGATAGTTTTAATAACGATTTAATTAAAAATGATTCATCTAATAGCCTATCAAGTAATACAAGTTATACATTTGACAAAATAAATAATGCGAAATTAATATGTGCAAATGATCCCCATAGAAAAAATATTGGAGAAGAGGAACGTGAAAACGAAAAAGAAAATATATTTCTAAAGGTAAATGAATATGAAGAAAGCAAAGATAAAGAATATGAACAAAATAAAAGTGAAGATGATAAAAAAAATAAAAATAGTGAAAACGAAAGTAAAATAAAAGAAATTTTGGATAATATAATTGATAAAGATGAAATATATGAAAATGAAAATAGAGAAAATTTAAAGAATAATAAAATAAAAGATAACTTATATTTCCATAAATTAATAAATGAAGAAAGTTATAATAATAATAATAATCAGTGTCTTTTTATTGCTTCTAATGGAAAGGAAAAAAAAAATGAACTAAAAGAAAAAGAAGAAATTTCTTCTATATATGAAAATGGGAATAAGAATTTGAATCCTGAATTAAAATCCGATTTAAATAACACTGGTAATGATTCTGGATTTAATATAATGAAAAAAAATATAAATTATTACAAAAATAAAGATGACAATTATGTGAATATAATAAATGAATTTGATGAAATAAATACATATACAGATAAAACGTATAACGAATTAAATGCAGAAAAAAGAAATAGTAATTTTGAATATTTAGATAATAATAGGAATAGATCAGACCAAATAGAACAAATTTTTTCTAAATATAATATAGAAGTCTCTCATTTATCTAAATATTTTGATTTTAATAATAATGACCTAAAAGAAAATTTAGAAACAATGTTAGATAATGAAAAAAATAATGTCAATGTTTTATTTGAGAATAATAAAAAAAAACAGGAAAAAAATGAAATAAATCGAGAATACAATTCTGAATATTCAAGTAACTTAGCCAATTTTAATAGAAAAAAAGGAGAAAAAAAAAGTAGTTTGACCTTTACTAATTTAGAGGATTTCAATAAAAATTCAATAAAAAAAAAGAATTCTGTGATTTATTCCATGGAAGAGGAATCATTTAATTCTGAAATTAATGAAAATAATTACATAACAGAAGATGTTTTAAAAGATATATTAAATATAAAAGAAGAAAAGATAGATTTCGAAATTTTTAAAAATTGTTTTTATGATTTAAATTATGATATCAATTTGTCAAATATTCAACTATTATACAACTGCATCTTGGAACACCGTGCAATTAATACAACAGAAGATGAAATGGAAAATGAGGAAGAAAATATAAATATAAGAAAAAGTAGTAATAGTAATAAACAAAACTTTATTACTATTAAAGATATAAGATCTTATATTATTCAAAGGAATGTTAAAAATAATAATTATTACAATGAAATTATTAAAATGATAGTTCATTTTAATAATATCTTATTGTTAATGTTGAACAATAATACAACTGAAATAAAAGACAAAATGTTATTTGAATTATTATCTTTAAAATTTGCATCTATATTTAATAATGTGTTACAAATGCATAACAATTTCGACAATTTAATTAGGCATTTAAATGAAATTATAAAATTGATTTTATCTAATGATTCTAAAGAACAAAATTTAAAGAATATAATATCTAATTATTTAATTGATCAAAAAATATTAATTCATAGGAATGCTATATTGTCACAATTAAATGGTAAATTTTATAAAAAAGTCAAAACAAGTTGTTCTAAAAGAGAAAAAGTGGATAATTTAAAAAAAGAATATAAAGTGAACAACGTGGAAAAAGAAGACGAAATTGAAAATGAAAATGAAATTGAAAGTGAAAATGAATATAAAAACGAAAAAGAAAAAGAAAATGAAAAAGAAAAAGAAAATGAAAATGAAAATGAAAAAGAAAAAGAAAAAGAAAAAGAAATAAATCATTTTATGGAAAATACGAAAATAGATAAATCATTGAAGTATAATAATAAAAACACTAAATTAGAGAATAATAATACAAATATCAAAAGTAATTTGAATAAATGTTATAGTAAAAATAGCAAAAAAAATTCTGGTAATAACACTGAACAACAAAATAAAAAATCAATTTGTAATTTAAATGACAATGAAAATAATACTCGTAATTTAACAAAAGATATTATAATGAGTGAAATAAATAATACAAAAGATATAAGTGAAAATGAAAATTTAAAAAAAAATAAAACTTTTCCAAAAAAAAAAAAAAAGAGAACAAATACATCGTTTATAAAAAATTTTGTTGTATCAAATGAGTTAGAAAATGAAAAAGAAAATGAAAAAAAAAATGAAGAACAAATCTTGAATATTAAAAAAAATATTTCAGACACATATCAACTTGAGAATGTGGTAGAAAAAAATATAGGAGAAATAAAGAAACTGAAAGAAAATATTCGAACAGTTAAATATATAAGTTCACAAGATGAAAATAAAGATGAGGAAGAAAATGAAAAAAACAAAAAAAATAGGAAAGGTAAAAAAATTAGTAAAAATGAAAAAATTGAAGACAACGATAATAAAACTAAAGAAAGTATTTCAAGTAGTATTGAAAATAAAAAAAAATTGGAACTTACTAAAAGCATTAAAAATAAAAAAACTAAAGAAGATAAAAAGGGAATGGAACATAAGAAAATTGTAATGAATGATAAAAATGAGAAAAATAACATAAATATAGAAAATGCAAAAAATAAGGAATGCAATAAAAACACAAAAAATGAAAATTATAAAAAAAAATATACGCAAAACTTTTTAATTAAAAAATGTGAAAATGAGGATGATAATAATAGAAATAGTGTTAATCATAACAACAAATTTGGTTTTATAAATTATAGTAATGATATTAATATTGAGAATTTTAATAATTATTTCAAAAAATATAATTCAATTAATAATGGCATGAACAAATACAATCTAAATATTTTACAAAAAAATATGTACAATAATAATTATTCTTTACTTAAAGGATCTATTATACCTAATTTAAATACAATGAATAATAATATTTATGGCAATATAAATTATGTAAATAATTACCATAACTTTCCAAGAAAAGCTATAGAAAAAACTTCCTTAAATAATATATCTAATATAAATGAACATAATCAAATAAATAATAATTATAGCAAAAATATAAATTATGAGAACAATAATATCAATCATATAAACGAATTAAAGTTGAATGACTCTTTTAAGAATGAAGAATTATGCAAAAACATAATAATGAAAAATAATAATTACAATTATCTCGTATATCAAAATAAATTTCAGAAAAATGAAAAAGATATTTTAGATGATTCTAATTCAGAACATATTTTAGATAAATTAAATGTTAGTAAAAGTCATAATTATTTAAATAAGGCAAATATACAAAATAGTAATAACATTATTTTAAATCCTAACACAAAATTTAATATGTATGATAATATTAGAAATATAAATAATAGAAATGAAAATAATCAATACCCAATAAATTTTTACCATAAAAATTGTATAGGAAAATTAAAAATTGATATATTAAAGCAAAATGCAATAAATAACTCAAATAATATTATTGTTAATAATGTTAATAATAATATCATTAATAACAATGATGAAGAAAATATGAATAATAAAGATATGGTTAATGAGAGACGGAAAATTGATTGTATGAAAGGTAAAGGTAACATAAATATGAATGATATAATTAATATAAATAATGACAATAATAAAATTACGAATGAAAATAAATTAAATAATATAAGAAAATGTACTCCATTTGAAAAAAAACATTACACTATTAACTGTAATAGAATTGTAAACCCTAATATGCACTTTGATTTAAAGAAAAACAGCAACGTTGTAAATAATAAAAACAATCTATTACTACCTGAAAATACATCTAAAAGTGATAATAGACTTATTAGCTCAAAAAGTGAGATTGATGCGCTAAAAATTAGCAAAGAAAATTTAAATAATGAATGTTCGAATATTAAATCATTTAAAATTGAAAATGCTATATTCAATTTACCAAATGATGAAAAAAATAATACAGAAGTTAAGGAGGATAATAAAGAAAAAGACAAGAAATCTGCATATAATCGTATTACTGAAATGTTTTCAAGCCAATTAAAAAACTTCAAACTACGAAATAGCAAATCATTGAGATCAACCACAACTGAAGGAAGAGTTTCACTATTAAATAATAATAGTAATTATAATAAAGAAAAAAAAAATAATAAAAACAACATAAAATTTTTATTTGATCAATTAAATATTTTTCAAAATAAATGCACAACTTTAAAAAGTGTTAATGCTAAAGATGAAAAAGCAGAAAAAGAAGAAAAAGAAGAAAAAGAAGAAAAAGAAGAAAAAGAAGAAAAAGAAGAAAAAGAAGAAAAAGAAGGTAAAAATTGTGATTTAATAATAGCTAATAACGATTTAAATGATAATTATATGCAAAATAATAAAATAAATGAAAGATACAAAACAAATAAAGAAAATGCAAATCAAATTAATTTCGTTGAAGAAAAAAACAAAACCATTAGTGATAACACAAGTAAAAATGTAAACAACATAAGTAATATGAACAAATTTTTTTATAATATAGAAGACATAAATTTTATGAAAGGAATGAATAGTAAAAATGTTGGAAAAAGTGAAATTAGTAATAATACAAATAATAGAATAAACGAAATAAAAAGAGTAAATAACAATAATAATGATGTTAAAAATGTTTTAAATAATAAGATAGGTAAAACAAAAAATATAAATAATATAATAAATAGTAATAATTTTAATTATTATAATGATACTTCTAATAACTTAATAAATAGTAACAATAATACTTTATTTGCATATAATGTAAATATTGATAATTCAAATACAAATTATAATAAAAATTATAGTGCAGAAATATTAAATATGAGGAAAACTAATTCTCATTTTACAAATTACAATAAGTTAAGCATGGGTGCTTTTCCTTTTCAACCGAGAAACAACCATCTACATAGTCGTTCATCAATTACAAGATTTAGTGAAGCAAAGAATATATTAAATTTAAAAGAAAAAGAAGATGAACTAAGCATGTATAGGGCGAACATAAAGAAAGTTCCACTTCCCATTCAAAGAAAAGAATTTGTTGATGATATTAAAAGGAATGATATGTTACTAAATAGCAAAAATTATAGAAATGACGATATAAACAAATTTATTATTAACAATAATGTTGATGAATGTAATTCTGTTGAAAAAAAATTTATCAATTCATTTGTAGAATCAAAACAAGTAAAAACAGAAAATGTAAGTAATAACTTAAATAATAATCCATTTTTCAAATCACCCAATTTCAATAATTATTATAACTTTCCATTTCATAATAAAAAATTAACTACCTTACATCAAGTAAATCCTCAAGCAAATAATTTCAATTTATATAATTTAGATGGAAAAATGAATCACAATTATATGTTTAAATCATCTTCATTGCAAAAAAAAAATATAATAGAGAACAACTGTCAAAATAACTTAATTCACTCAAATTATAGGGTTATTCCAAGTATGATAAAAGAAACTAGATCTTTATATAAAAAGAATGGCAATTGTCGGTTTTCTTCTAATATGTTTAATAAATTTGAAAATAATGTTTCCTCTAATAATATGATGAACTTACCTCCAATGGATGAAAATAACTTATCTCTAGAAGAAATTCTGAAAATACCAGGAGTAAAGTTAGGTAGAAATTATGTACAAGATATAGACATATGTTCTGACTGGTTAAAATTTAATGATTATGATAAAAAAGTAATTGAAGAATCTTTAAAAAATAGTTTAATAAATAAAAATTATGAGATTCCTATTGATTCCATGAAAATTAGCCATAAAGTTTCTTCTAACAAAATAAATTAAAATTATAGATTATTTTTCTCCTAAATATTTTAAAAAGAAAAAAAAAATACATATATATATATTGAATTAATATATATAAGATATATTCACATATATAATTACAAGAATCAAGTAATGGTTAATGAATTAAAAGGACAAAAAAAAAAAAAAAAGACCAAAAGGATGATGCTATTTTGATTATCTCATTATATTAATATTCCTGGAATGATAACAAAGAACTATATTCACAATCAGGAAAAAAGATAAAAAAAAAAAAAAATAGTATTCTTATATACAAAAGGAATTTAAAATTGTAAGTAAATGCTCTTTTTATATAAGAAATTTTTAGGAAGATTCATTAATATATAATTAGTAAATAGATGTTTTTTAAATTAAAACGTAAAAAATAAAGATGTGTTTCCATTTCAATTTAATTTTTAATAAAACTTTCATTTTTAAAATTATGTATGATCTTAATATATTATTATAATTAAATGAAGCATCATAAAAAAGCATAAAGATTACAAAATAAGTGTAATAATGAATCATTTTTTTTTTCTTTTTTTGAAATTATTTATAATACACATTATTTTAAAAAAATATTTTAGATATATAGTTTTACAACTGTTTTTCTATTTTTCTCGTTTTGTCTTTTTTTTTTTTTTTTTTTTTTTTTCCTC